TTNCGTTTTCTTTGTTTTTCTTTCTCCCCCCCCCCTTCTCTCCCGCTGCCTTCCTCTGCTTTGTCCCCTTCAGCCTGACCCGATGCAAGCGTCGTCAGACTCCGCGGGGCCGCAGATGCCGAGCAGCTCCTCCTTTAGCGGGTGTGCGTCGGTGGCTGGAGAAGCGGCGGCGCTGGAGCAGCTGCGCCACGCGCACTCCGCGATGCAGCAGTACGTGGCAGCCGAGATGGACGCCTACGCCGAGGACTGGAAGCTGCTGGGAAAGTGCAACGCGGCGCTGGGGGAGCGTTGCCAGGAGGTTTGGGCCTCGACGAAGGATGCCGTGCGAGAGCTGGAAACGACGGCGGAGGCGATCGAGCGGCTACTTCCTCCGCTTTCCGAGATCGACACTATTGAGGCGCAGCTAGCCACTCTAACGGAAGCGGTGAGCAGAATCGACGAATACAGCAAAAATCTAGCAGATCATTTTGGCTGCACATGAGTAACGCCGTACCGTGCGGGGGCTTGAATTTTTATCCTGGACGAGTGGTATATATATAAATATATATTGCCGGGTCTTTGCTTTTCTTTTTTACTAAGATTTTGATTGGACGCCTTTCTTTTCGGTTCCTTTTCCTTTTCCTTTTCCTTCTCCTCCGCTTCCCTTCGCTGCCTCGTTTTGGCTTCTTCCGTGCGGTGTGGGCGGCGTGTAGGCCGAGGTCGGCGAGAGCGCGGTGATGCTGCGTAGTGGTGGCGTCGCCGGGGGGCCGTTGGCCGTCGATCCACGTAGTGGTGGTTGTGCGTCGTCCTCCTCTCGGGCCGCCGTCGCCGCGGATCCGCGCGGCGGCGGGCGTGTCAAGAGTTCGGCGTCGTGTATTGAGGAGGGCGTGCGGAGGCGGTTCGAGCCGTGGGAGTTGGGCCTCATCAAGTGCGAGGCGCTGCAGGAGTACAACTTGCTGAAGAACGCCTCGGAGCGGCGCGAGGTGGAGCGGGAGGAGTCCATCGCGCGGGAGGAACTGACTGCGGACGCCGCTTCGTTCTTGGCCGCGCTGCGTGAATGGCAGGCGGAGGCGCGGGGGGAGATCGCGGCCAACCGCCCTTTGTCGCTGCTGCTGGAGCGGCTGCAGCGGCGGGCGACGGCGCAGCAGCGCCGGCACGAAGCGCACGAGGCGGCCCTCCGCGAGGAGGGTCGCGTGGAGTGGCGGCGGGAGGTGGAGGAGAAGGCGCGGCTTCAGGCGTACGAGGCGGCCCTGATGCAGTGGCGCCGCGAGGGTGAGGAGACGCTGCGCGCAGCCGTGGCCTTTTTGCTGGGGATGCAGACGCGAGAGCGGCGGGCGGAGGAGGCAGCGCAGGACGCGGCGTGGACGGCGCTCTGCACACAGGAGTCCGCCGACCGCGCCGAGGCCGAGCGGCTCGCCTACGAAAACTTCATGAACACGCCGGAGCAGGTGGCACTGCGGAAGGAGCGGGAGCGGCTGGAGGCTGCTGCGAATCGCGCCGCGGCGCGGAAGTTGAAGCAGTTCCTAAAGGAGCAGGAGCACTTGGTGAAGTCCTGCACGCACGCGCGGGGTCATGCCTCGTTTTTTGAGGGTCCACTTGCAAAGAAGTTGTGCGTCTCCTGCGGGGTGAAGTTTGACGAGACGCTTGGGTATTACGTGCGCATGCGGGGGCGGACGATTGCCCCGCCGCCGACTTGGACGCCGCCGCAGCCTCCACCGGCGCGCGGCAGCGCCACGAGGCTGGCGCCACTTCCACAGCTGGCCAAGTCCGAAGGACGGCGAAGCCTTTGGGGGTGGACGCTGAATGAGCCTACGCGCCCCACGAAGCTGGGCGGCGGCAAGAAGGCGTAGAGCGTGTGCGGCTCGTCGCAGCTACTCCCAGCCCCCAAGGCTTCGCTGCCTTCCCTTCCATGCGCTTTTTCCTTCTGTGTGTGTGCGTGTGTGTGTCTTCTTGAGGACCGTGTGTGCGGCGAAGGAGCGCGAGAAGAGGGCGGAGGCGGGGAAAGGAGGCATGTACAAACACGGCCGGGTAGAGAAAGGCGCGTGCGTGTGTCGAGTGCCGTGCGGAGTGCGCCTGCGCGGGCGAAGGCACACGGCAACGAGGAGGAGGAGGAGGAGGTGTTGTCTTTGCGGTTCCCACAGTCCCTCTCATTCTTCTTTTTTCTTTTCTAAATGCACGTGTGTGTGTGTGGGTGTGCTTCTGCTGCCCCTGCGCCTCTCCGCCAAACAAAAGGAAAAACGAAAAAGAAAAGGAAGGGCGACGGGAAGAAGAGCACACAGCAGGCACGGCAACGAGGGGAATGAACGGCAAGGCCGCAGGCCACGGCATCAGTAGCATCCAGAAGGATCAGGCGTACCTGCACTCGCACAACGTCCGCGGCATTCTTGAGCGGCTCGTCGCCGACGTCCTCCGAGAGAAGCCGGAGGACGCCTGCGCGTACATGGCGGCGTGGGCGGCCAAGCAGCGGGAGGCGCACCGGACTGGGGGCAGCAGCGGCCCCTCCTCGGAAGCTCCGCCCCCCACGGGGTAGCGCGAGCTCAGCGGCAAGATACGGCGGGTTTTGCCGACAGCAGGACAACAGAGATGACATGCGAAGGGGGAGGGGGAAGAAAAAAGGACGGAGGGCCCGCGCGTTGGCCTTCTTTCGCAGCGGAGGTTGTGTTGAGCCACGAAGGAAGGTGCCATCGGTGGCCGTGATGGCGGGCGGAATTGCCCCCGAACAAAAGGCCTCTTCTTCCCCCCTTTTTTTTGTATGTGTCTGTGTCTGTATGGTTGCATGTTTTTTTTTTTTTGGTCGCCGGTTTCCAACGATGACAGCAATAATAACGCGCAGCGTCAACTTGACGGTGGAAGCTTTAGAGCCGACGATGCACGCGGGACACCGTGCCCCTCTCCCCCGCCCACTACCTGCACACCCGCGTCTGCCTATGCGTTACAACTAGGCAGATAGCCGTGTGTGTGTGTGTCTGAGCGGCTGTGAGCCCTGTGCACGCCTTCCAGGACTCCTCCGCGCGGTCGCCGCGCGCGATGCGCAACGCCTGACGTCTTTGGCAGGTGCCCGCAGTGCTTTGCAGGTTCGGGGTTAGCCGTAGTCCAACGCGGGTGCGAGGGGAGGAGCGGGCGGAACCACACAAAACACACACACGCACAAAAAGAAAAAAAAACAGATTGCACAGACAACTTTGCCTGAGAGCGTGCGTGTTCGTGTCTTTCGCTTTGGCGTCGGCCCCTTCCCCTTCCCCTTCCCCTTCCGCGACTCGAGTGAACGGAGAGAGAGAGAGAGGCGATCGATGCGGAGGGTGCGGGAGGGAGGGGAGACTCCTTCGCCCGCGCTTCTTTTTTCTTTTTTTTCGCTCTTTTTCTTTCCCCGGTTGGGTGGGCTTGACTCCCTCCTCCGCTGCACGTTGCTTCTCCGCTTGACGCACGCTGGAAGTGCACGCGGACCTGCAACTGCCATGTAGTTCCGCAACACCCGCAGCGTTTTTTCTCCCCACCTCCCATACCCGCACGCGCGGGCGCCTGGCACCCATTTCCTCCTGCATACCCACACACGCGTCTGTGGCGGCTCCTCCTCTTTTGCTTCCTCTCGGTGTTTGGTGCGTGCGCATGTGTGCGGAAGCGAGTGAGAAGAAAGCGACACGCGCGCAGAAATATTCTCATGGAGTCTCGGTCACGGCCCTGCGGCCGTGACGCGGGCGGAAGGCAGACGAGGGCCCGCAGTGGCAGCAGCTGCAGCTGCAGCAGCGGAGGCGCGGCCGAATGCGGCGGCGGAGGCGATAACGACGCAGACGCCGCTGTTGCCGCAGCCTCGTCGCCCGCGCGAAAACCGGCCTCGCTGCCTTCCTTCCGGCAGCAACACGCGGAGGAAGCCACGGCCGCAGGGACGCGGAGTCCGTGCTGCGGCGACCACGACACGGACGCGGCGGCGGCCCGCCCTGCTACCAGCGGCAGCGGCAGCGGCAGCGGCGACGAGGCGGAGGCGACGACGGTCACTGTGATGGTGCCAACGATGTTCACCACCGCAGGCGGACGTCGCATTTGTGTGCGGGAGAAGCGGCGCCTTGCCCGCGGCTCCCCGTACTGGCGCCTGCTTTTCGAGTGCCCCGTGCAGGGGACGGCCGCGCCGCCCTCCCACGCCGACACGGAGACCGGGCTGAAGCGGCGGAAGGTGAAGGACGACGCCGACGAGGCGGACCTGTCGCAGTGCGGCCTGCCGCCGGCGTGGCAGCGGCGCCCACGCGAGGCAAACGCGCTGTTTGCGCCTTCGCTTGCCGTGTTCCCTCAGCGGCCCCGGGCGCGCTCGTGCCCGCCGCCAGTATCGAGCGACTGCGGGGCATCTGCGGAGAGCGGCGGTGTCACGTTCACCTTCCCTTGCTCCTCCTTCACCAGAGCCGACGGCAGCATGATTTATTTCGCTGGGGCGCGCCGCGGCGCATAGCAGACACGCCGCCCCACAGCCTCGGCGACGGCAGACAGAGAGGTGTAAAATACGCGTCAGAGTATAGTACACCTTGCGGCCGCGGTCTGTGCGTGGCCGCGGCACACACACATCTGCAGTGCATTTCCATCTCCCCCCTGGTTTTCCTGGGAGCGTTTCTTTTCTGGCTTATTTTTACTGTCATCCGCCTCCGTGCGCGTGAGAGAGAGAAAAAAAAGAAAGAGTCTGCGCAGCCTCTTTGTGGGCTTGCTCCCAGCACCACAAGTCTGCGCGCCTGCCGCCTCCAGTTGTTTCTGTGGCCTTCCGCCGCCCCCACCCCGCTGCAACCCTCCCGTTTTGCCGTCTCACCGTCGGGGGCTAACACGCAGAGCAACACCCGGAGGAAAAAAAAAAGCAAAACAAAAAAAAGAGAACCCGGCAGCGGCGCCTTTTCTACCACTCCCTTGCACCGAAGTAGAGGCAGAGCGGCAGCACCTCCCTCACACACGCGCACAAAGGCGACGGGCCGGCCCGACCCAAGGCATGGACTACAATCTCGAATACAGCGAGGAGCAGCGGGAGTACCTCGAGCGTGTCGGGATGTGGGAGCACCTCGAGACCTTCGTTGCCGAAGTCGTCCGGCAAAAGCCTCACGACGTCTACGAATTCCTGCACAGCTGGGCCAGTGCCCGCTGCCCGCAGGCGGCAACGGCGACGCAGACGCAGGCTGCCATCAAGATCCAGTGCGCCCTGCGCCGGCACCTGGCACGGGAGCGGATGCGCAGCCGCCAACGCGAAGTAAGCGGGCATGTAGAGCACAACCAGGCGCAAGTAGCGACGACGCTGGAAGCCGAGGCTTAGTCGCCCGCCTCTGCAAGAGGCGCCATTTGCCCCGCCCCCTGCGTGCCTGAATATCCGACACGACGTGGTGCACTGCTTGCCGTCACTCAACACGCGGACAACACAATCAACGTCCATTTTACTGCAAAACGTCAGCCATGTACTTTTACTTTTTATTTTCATATTGCTACTTTCTTTTTCTCGACGAAAGTCGCAAGTGATGCACAGACACAAGAGAAAAAGCAACAACAGTAGTAGACCAACACCTGCTACACGCTCGCATTGGGCGTGGTTGCAACAGCACAGCACATGCAACTACGCTTTTTGGGACTCCTCGCCAAAACAAACATAAATTCTGCTGCCAATCACAAATTCTTCTCACAATAACGAACTGTGCTTGAGGCTCAACGGCCTAGCGTGGACAAACCGGCGTCTACCTTGCTCTTCATATTTTGTATCTGCTGTTCAAATTTCAAACGCCAAGAAACAAAAAGGTGGAACGATGGCCGCTGCGGGATCCTGAGGTGCGTGAGACCTCCCTCTGCCGTGCGAGCGCAGAAGAAGAAGCCGGCTGTGGCTGACTGGTGCCGCGTCGGTGCCGACAC